TTTTTGACCACGCCACCGCCCGCCGCGGAATACCGGTGTCTGCGACTGGGAGTGCCTAGGGGAACCCGGCGAGCCCCTCAGCCTGGTTCCTTCCTCTCGTTTTTCCTGGAAACACACACTCCTGTCCCGAAATGACTCAGCTGTAGTAAATCTGCAACACAACGTGCAATATGTTCACGTTCGACAGAATGCAAAATTTCACTTTTTTTCTTTACACACTCATTTTGATCGGCATTCACGTTTTGTATTTTTCGCTGCTCTGCTTTAATTATGCAGAATGTTTCTGGCATCCATGCCTTGGAATCCAGTAAGCGTCATTTTTAAAACGTGGCGCACGGATGTAAAAGGCTGAGGCCATCTCAATTTTGCTGGAATTATTAATAAATGCTGCTTTATTTAGGGAAGAAAAACGACTCCAATCGTTTGCTTTTAATTATCTTTTCATTGCATATCTAAAATTCAGTGCTTGGGGGCGGACACGGAGAATTTGAATTAGCAAAAAAGGATAAAAAATAGTTTTAAAGAAAAATTCGGTATTACCTAAATAGTAAACTTACTTTCTAGTAGGTGAGAAATTCCTGCTGGAGTTTTAAAATCACTGATACGGCCCTGGTATTAGAATCTTTACCCAATAATATATCCTGAGTCCCTGCAATTGCCAGCACTGAGTAAGGCACTAGGAGTCCAATGGTAAGCCAAGCAGAGCTTCTCTTGAGAAGATGAACAGTTTATGGGGTTATGCATTGCAATAACAACATTTTGAAAAATACCTAATAAGCACACACCTCATATAAAAGAGGTGGATCAACCTCAAATAAACAGTTATACTATGCATACGTAGAAGAGGTATACGCAAACTTCTGCAAAGGATTAGATACTAAATATTTTTTATTTTGTGAGCCTTGCGGTATCTATGGCGACTACTCAACATACCATATCTTGGCATGAAATTAACCGTAGACAATATGTAAATGAAATGATTGTGGCTGTATCACAATAATATATTAAAATTATTTAAAAATTTAAATTTGGCCGGCTCGGTGCCTCACGCGTGTAATCTCAGCACTTTGGGAGGCCGAGGTGGGTGGATCACCTGACGTAAGGAGTTCGAGACCAGCCTTGCCAACATGCTGAAACCTAGTCTCTACTAAAGATACAAAAATTAGCCGGGCATAGCTGAGCCTGTCCAGACGCAGTGGCTCACGCCTGTAATCCCAGCACTTTGAGAGGCCAAGGTGGGCGGATAACCGGGGGTTGGGAGTTCGAGACCAGCCTTACCAACATGGAGAAACCCCATCTCTACTAAAAATACAAAACATTAGCCGGAGTGGTTTATGCCTGTAGTCCCAGCTACACAGGAGGCTTAGGTAGGAGAATTGCTTGAACCTGAGAAGTGGAGGTTGCCATTAGCACAGATCGCACCATTGCACTCCAGACTAGGCAACAAGAGCAAAACTCCAGGCCGGGCGCGGTGGCTCAAGCCTGTAATCCCAGCACTTTGGGAGGCCGAGGCGGGTGGATCACGAGGTCAAGAGATCGAGACCATCCTGGTCAACATGGTGAAACCCCGTCTCTACTAAAAATACAAAAAACTAGCTGGGCCTGGTGGTGCATGCCTGTAATCCCAGCTACTTAGGAGGCTGAGGCAGGAGAATTGCCTGAGCCCAGGAGGCGGAGGTGGTGGTGAGCCGAGATCGTGCCATTGCACTCCAGCCTGGGTAACAAGAGCGAAACTCCGTCTCAAAAAAAAAAAAAAAAAAAAAAAAAAAAAAAGCAAAACTCCGTCTCAAAACAAAACAAACAAACAAAAATTAGCCAGGCTTAGTGGCACATATTACCAAGACCAGCCTAGCCAACATGGTAAGCCACATCTCTACAGATATACAAAAATTAGCCAGGCGTGGTGGCAGAGATTGCAGTGAGCCAAGACGGCACCACTGCAGTCTAGCCTGGGCAACAAGAGCGAAACTCTGTCTCAGAAAAAAAATTACTTTGAAATTCTTGTAGAAGGCCAGGCGCGGTGGCTCACGCCTATAATCCCAGCACTTTGGGAGGCCGAGGCGGGTGGATCACGAGGTCAAGAGATCGAGACCGTCTTGGTCAACAAGGTGAAACCCCATCTCTATTAAAAATACAAAAATTAGCCGGGAGTGGTGGTGCACGCCTGTAGTCCCAGCTACTCGGGAGGCTGAGGCAGGAGAATTGCTTGAACCCAGGAGGTGGAGGTTGCAGTGAGCCGAGATCGTGCCATTCACTCCAGCCTGGGTAACAACAGCGAAACTCCGTCTCCAAAAAAAAAAAAAGAAAGAAAGAAATTCTTGTAGAAAAAATGATTTACTGTGATAAAGGCATTTCTTGTTCTATTTCTATTATACTATCAAATTCTTGCATAGCTTTAGGCCTAATCAAGATCCTTACATTTCTCTTTTTAAATTTCTTTCATTTAGTGGGTAACACTATGTCTCCTTTGTGGAATGAAGTGAGGGGAAAATGTGGGTAAGCTTAAAGGAAGGAGGGAGAGGAGGAGAGAGGAAAGGAGGCAGCAGTTGCAAAGGAGAAAGCTCTTGACTTGCTGACAGAACCTCTGGATGCTACTTCTACTCCACAGAGGTGTCATTCTGGGTAAACCAATTGCCTCTCTGGGCCTTTTCCTTCGTTTGCAAAGTTGTGAGAAGGGGGTTAGTGAGAGAGACTCAGATGATTTTTAAGTGCACTTCAGCTTTTACTACTCTATATAAAGGGTTGGCAAACTGTGACCAGCAAGCTAAACCCTGCTGGTATCTGCTTTTGTACACCTGTGAGGTTACAATGGCTTTACATTTTTGTTTATATTTAATTTTATTTATTTATTTCAGACAGAATCTTGCTCTGCTGCCCAAGCTGGAGCACAGTGGTGCGATCTCGGCTGACTGCAACCTCTACCGCCTGAGTTCAAGCAATTCTTCCACCTCAGCCTCCCAAGTAGCTGGGATTACAGATGCCCACCACCCCCAGCTAATTTTTTTGTATTTTTAGTAGAGATAAGGTTTCATCATGTTGGCCAGGCTTGAACCCCTGATCTCAAGTGATCCACCTGCCTCGGCCTCCCAAAGTGCTAGGATTATAGGCATCAGCCACAGCGCCTAGCCCCTTTGTTCTATTTTTTAAACTGCAATGTTATTATATTACTTTTCTGAATTAATACATTCCCCATATGTGTGTGTGTGTATGTGTGTGTGTGTGTGTACAGTTTTATATATGTGAGTTACTGCTTTAAACATGGATGTTGAACCCCAATGTCTTGAAGAAACAGCCTCTGTAGAAGAGTTGTTTTTCCAGAAGTAGAAGTGGTACCAAATATAGTTAATTTCACCTTCATGCCTGGCTTGTTCCATTTGCTGAATGGTTCAGATTTGCTCAGTAGCCATGGGCCAGAATTTTTCCATGTACTTTATTCAGTAGCCTCCATTGTGTGCACAGAACTAACTCATCTGCAACCCATGAATGGTACACTGATTTCAGTCATAGAGCTACTGAGTTACTCTGAATGCAATGCATTCATATATGTATTAATTCAATACACATATATTAGGTGCTGGTTACTATGTGCCAAATTCTGTGCTGAGGTAGAGACAAAAAAATTTTTGAAGCTATATTCATTCACTTCTTTGTGGGATCTCTGGTGGCCTAATAGGCATTGGAAATAATAATCATAGCTAAACTTTTTAGTACATACACTGTGCCTGCCCTGTGCTAAGTATTTTGGTGCATTGCTGCCTTTCATTCCCACACTATATTATATACAGATGCTGAGTGCCGATTACTATATCCCAAATACCATAGGCACTATGTACAGATGTCAAATTTGCATCCCAGAGAGGTTGCGAGGCTAATGAGTGGAAAGGTCCAGCCTTGACCAAGTCTAACTCCAAAGGCCATACCTTCAACATCTGCTAAGCCCTCTCCCTAGAAATAAGAACTATATAGGCTTCCTTCGAAATTCATTCAACAAATATGTGTTGAGCCTATTACCATCTTTTAGTCACCGTTCTTGGATAATAGAGAGTAAATCTGATTGTAAATAAGTTTTCCATCCTCAGTTAAGGTAGATGTTAAGGTGGATACTTAACAAAGAATAACAAAGAGTTCTCATACAGGGACAGAAAGAAAAAAAGACACCAATTTATTTAAGAAAAAAGGGTATTAATAAGGGGCATTGCAAAGGGAGGATACCACATGAACAGACATCTAAACCATCCCTATCCAAACCAAGCTCCCTTTCTTAGCTTGAGGGTAACTAGGCCTCAGCCAGGAAGAACTGTCAACATTGGGATTTGACACAAGTGTTGACAGAGGTAGAAAGGCCTTCAGAATGGATCATGCCAGCAAATTGATTTTTTTGCCCTATTCGCCACCCTGTAGCTAAGAGCTGACCCAGATGTACAAGAAGAGAGATTGAGAATCATTTTTTAGTTTTCTGAGTGAAAGTAACAATTCCAACATGTTTCCCTTACATGCAATGAAACTAAACTTTGGTAGAATTTCAAACCAAGAAGTTCATGCTCACAGGAGATTCTCTCTTGTCTGTACGTTTGTAGATGATTATTGAATTAAATAACATACCAGTCAAAACATCAGGTGCTCCTGAGTCTGGGTCACCTGGGTTACCAGCCCATCTGGCTCAGAGAAAATTCACTTCAATAAAAGTCACCTGAGTCTTAGTTACGCAAAGCCAAGTCAAGGTGGGAGATTAATGATGAGCATAATTGAAGAGTCTTTCTTCATTCTGGAAACGTAGATTTGTTTTCCCAGGAAAGCTGGATTATCAGGGGTTTTTTAATGTATCATTTGCTTCACACTACATGTATATAAGAGTGGCTAATTTTAAAAAAACCTGACAATACTCAATGTTGGTAAGAATGTAGAGAAATTGGATCACTCGTACTTTGTTGGTGGTAATATAAAATGGTATAGCCACTCTGAAGAAAAGTTTGGCAGTTTCTTTTGTTTTTATTATTCAGTCCCTGTAGAGACTGCCAAAAATTGCCAACGCCAACTATATTTCAAGTCATCATGGTGGGGCATCAGGAAAAGTTTTCAATTAGCAATAACTGCACCAAGGATAAACCTCATTGGCTATGATACTGCCACTACACAAAGCTGGTTTGGCAGTTTCTTTTTTTTTCGAGACGGAGTGCAATAGTGCAATCTCGGCTCACTGCAACCTCCGCCTCCTAAGTTCAAGCGATTCTTCCACCTCAACCTCCCAAGTAGCTGGGACCACAGGCACATGCCAACATGCCTGGCTAATTTTTGTATTTTTAGTAGAGACAGGGTTTCACCATGTTGGCCAGGATGGTCTCGATCTCTTGACCTCATGATCCGCCCGCCTCGGCCTCCCAAAGTGCTGGGATTACAGGCATGAGCCACCGCGCCTGGCCTGGCAGTTTCTTAAAAACCTAAACCTGCATCTACCATATGACCTAGCAATTGCACTCCTCGGCATTTATCCCAGAGAAATGAAAACTTATGTTCACACACAAAAACCTGTACATAAATATGTAGAGTAGCTTTATTTGTAATAGCCAAAAACTAGAATCAGTCCAGACATCCTTTAACAGGTGAATGGTTAAAAAATGGATACATCCATATCATGGAATCCTAAGCAATAAAAAGGAATGGACTACTGATACAACAACTTGGATGAATTACACTAAATTAAAACGCCAGTCCCCAGGCCAGACACTGTGGCTCACACCTGTAATCCCAGCCCTTTGGGAGGCCGAGGTGAGAGGATTATTTGAGGCCAAGAGTTCGAGACCAGCCTGGCCAATACAGTGAAAATCCATGTTTACCAAAAAGTACAAAAAAAAAAAAAAAAAGGCCGGGCGCGGTGGCTCAAGCCTGTAATCCCAGCACTTTGGGAGGCCGAGGCGGGTGGATCATGAGGTCGAGAGTTCGAGACTATCCTGGTCGACATGGTGAAACCCCGTCTCTACTAAAAATACAAAAAATTAGCTGGGCGTGGTGGTGCGTGCCTGTAATCCCAGCTACTCAGGAGGCTGAGGCAGGAGAATTGCCTGAACCCAGGAGGCGGAGGTTGCGGTGAGCCGAGATCGCGCCATTGCACTCCAGCCTGGGTAACAAGAGTGAAACTCCGTCTCAAAAAAAAAAAAAAAAAGCCAGTTCCCAAATGTTACTTACTTTGTGTTTCAATTTAGATAACATTTTGAGGCTGGGCGCGGTGGCTCACACCCATAATCCCAGCATTTTAGGAAGCCACAGTGGGCAGATAACCTGAGGTCAGGAGTTCGAGACCAGCATGGCCAACATGGCAAAAGCCCATCTTTACTAAAAATACAAAAATTAGCCAGGTGTGATGGTGCATGACTGTAATGCCAGCTACTTGAAAGGCTAAGGCAGGAGAATTTCTTGAACCCAGGAGGTGGAGGTTACAGTGAGCCGAGATTAAGCCACTGCATTCCAGCCTAGGTGACAGAGTGGGACTCCATCTCAAAAAAAAAAACAGAAAAGAAAAAAAAAGCACTGTAGGCTGGGCGAGGTGGTTCATGTCTGTAATTCCAGCACTTTGGGAGGCCCAGGCAGGTAGGTTGCTTCAGGCCAGGAGTTCAAGACCAGCCTGGCCAACATGACAAAACCCTGTCTCTACTAAAATTACAGAAATCAGGTAGGTGTAGTGGCACACACCTGTAACCTCAGCTACTAGGGAGACTGAGGCAGGAGAATCGCTTTAACCTGGGAAGCAGAGGTTGCAGTGAACTGAGATCAAGCCACTGCACTCCAGCCTGGGAGACCGACAGAGTGAGACTCTGTCAATAACAACAACAACAACAACAAATCGTAGTTCCTGCCTTGGATCTCTTGTTCAGGAGAAAGCTAGTCATCATGCTTCAAGACATTCTAGCAGCCCTATGTAAAGGCGCACATTGAGCGGAACTGAGACAACTGAGACCCCTTACCAACCAAGGGAGAGTGGATATGGTTATAAAAGTGCCACATGAGGTTGCTGTTGGAACTGTTTTGTATCTTGACTGTGATGGTGGATACAGGAACTACAGGGTGGTAACACTGAATCGAACTAAACTTATATATAAAGTCAAGTCAATGGCTGGATAAAAGAGGAAAAAATAGAACTAAACTTACATACATGTGCAGAGAAGAAGGAACCTCAAAAGTTCATGGAAAAGTGTAATTAAAAGAAAAATAAAAAACACGAACTTTATTTCTCAACACAAACTTTATCAAGTTCCAGACACATTGAAAACACACAAATGATACCACACAAATGATACTGGCCATTTAGTTCATCCCTAAAGAACTGAGAGTCCCAGGAATTTAGCCATGTTGGTGAAGTCTTTTTCACTTTATGAACTGAAGAAAAATAGGGGCCCTTTACATATTTTTTAAATATTAGGAAACAAAAAGAAGGCAGAAGGAGCCAAATTAGGATTGCAGGGTAGCTGCCTAATGATTTCCCATCAAAACCCTTGCAAAATTTCCATTATTTGATGAGATTAATGAGCAGGAGCATTGCCAAGGTGGAGAAGGAATCTTTGGTGGACTTTCACAGATATTTTTCTGCTGAAGCTTCAGCTAACTTTCTCAAAACACTCTCCTTTTTTTTTTTTTTTTTTTTTTTGAGACGGAGTTTCGCTCTTGTTACCCAGGCTGGAGTGCAATGGCGCAATCTCGGCTCACTGCAACCTCCGCCTGCTGGGTTCAGGCAATTCTCCTGCCTCAGCCTTCCGAGTAGCTGGGATTACAGGCACTGCCCACCTATGCCCAGCTAATTTTTTGTATTTTTAGTAGAGACGGGGTTTCACCATGTTGACCAGGATGGTCTCGATCTCTCGACCTCGTGATCCACCCGCCTCGGCCTCCCAAAGTGCTGGGATTACAAGCTTGAGCCACCACACCCGGCCTCAAAACACTATCCTAATAAGCACATGTCATCATTCTTTAGCCCTCCAGCAAAATGCCTTAAGCATCCCCAAAAAACTGTTGCCATGACCTCTACTCCTGACCAGTCTGCTTTTGGTTTGACTGGCCCACTTCTATTTCTTGGTAGCTATTGTTTTGATTGTGTTTTGTCTTCAGGATTGTACTGGTAAAGCCATGTTTCATCTCCTGTTACAATTCTTTGAAGAAATGCTTCAGGATCGTGATCTCACTTCAAAATTTCCACTGAAAACTCCTCTCGTCTGCAGCTGATTTAGGTGCAGCAGTTTTGGCACCCATCAAGTAGAAGGTTTGCTCAACTTTAGTTTTGAGTTAGAATTGTGTAAGTGGAACCAGTTGAGATGCCTACAGCACTGGCTACTGTTTCTGCTGTTAATTGTTGGTCTTCTTTCATTAGGGCACAAACAACATTAATTTTTTCTTGCAAACTGATGTGGATGATCTGCAGCTGTGGGCTTCAGCTATTACATTCTCTTGACCCTTCTTAAAACAAGTTATCAGGCCGGACATGGTGGCTCACGCCTGTAATCCCAGAACATTGGATGGCCAAGGCAAGCAGATCACCTGAGGTTAGGAGTTTGAGACTAGTCTGACCAACATGGAGAAACCCCATCTCTACAAAATTAGCCGGGCATGGTAGTTCATGCCTGTTATCCCAGCTACTGGGGAGGGCGAGCCAGGAGAATTGCTTGAACCTGGGAGGCAGAGGTTGCGGTGAGGTGAGATCACGTCACTGCACTCCAGGCTGGCAACAAGAGCAAAACTCCATCTCAAAAAAAAAAAGTTATCCATTTGTAAACTGCTGATTTCTTTGGGGCGTTGTCCCTATCAGCTTTTTGTAAAGCGTGAATAATTTATCATTCTTCCACCCAAGCTTCACAAAAAATGTGATGTTTGTTCTTTCTTCAATTTTAGCGGAATTCATGTTGCTCTGAGAGGGGTTCTTTACAAACTGATGGTTTATCCCTCTCAGTGCCTCAGACTAGATGCTGTTCAGACATGTTATAACAATATGAATCTATTTCGATGAAAAAAAATTGAAATCCATGAATAGTTTTTTCATAATACACATTTTCCATAAACTTTTTTGAAGATTCTGTGTGTGCGTGTCTTCTAAAAGCATATTTGCAGACACACACAGGCACACAAATGAACATAAAACATGTATTAATGTCAATATTTTGGTCTTGATATTATACTACAGTTTTGCAAAATGTTACCATTGGCTGGGTGTGGTGGCAGGTTCCTGTGATCCCAGCTACTCAGGAAGCTGAGGTAAGAGGGTCTCTTGAGTCCAGGAGTTTGAGAGCAGCCTGGGAAACAAAGCAAGACCCTGTGTCAAAAAAATAAATGCTTCATTGGAGGAAACTGGGAAGAGTGTGTGAGGGTTCTCGCTGCATTATTTCTTACTGCATATGACTCTAGAAATATCTTGATTTTTTAAAAAAGTTGCTTCAAGCCTGGGCACAGTGGCTCACACCTGTAATCCGAGCACTTTGCAAGGCTGAGGCAGGTGGATCACCTGAGATCAGGAGTTCGAGACCAGCCTGGCCAACATGGTGAAACCCTGTCAGAGACAAAAGTCAGCCAGGTATGGTAGGCGCATGCCTGTAGTCCCAGCTATTTGGGAGGCTAAGGCAGGAGAATCGCCTGAACGTGGGAGGCAGAGGTTGCAGTGAGCCAAGATCATACTACTGCACTCCAGCCTAGACAACAAAGCAAGACTCTGTTAAAAAAAAAAAAAAAAGGCTGGGCACGGTGGCTCACACCTGTAATCCCAGAGCTTTGGGAGGCCGAGGTGGGTGGATCATGAGGTCAAGAGATCGAGACCATCCTGGTCAACATGGTGAAACCCCGTCTCTACTAAAAATACTAAAAATTAGCTGGGCATGGTGGCGTGTGCCTGTAATCCCAGCTACTCAGGAGGTTGAGGCAGGAGAATTGCCTGAACCCAGGAGGCGGAGGTTGAGGTGAGCCGAGAGTGCACCATTGCACTCCAGCCTGGGCAACAAGAGTGAAACTCCGTCTCAAAAAAAAATAAAAATAAAAAAAGAAAGGAGTTTTCAAATATGTCAAATGTAGTTCATAGGTTAAGTAAGTGGAGAACAGAGAGAATTCGATATGGCAGCATGGAGGTCACTAATGATCTGGACAATTCCATGGAGTAGAGAAGGTAAACACT